TTTTTTTTTTTTTTTTTTTTTTTTGTGTGTGATTTTCAAAATGGACCTAGTTTTTGTGTACAATTACACTTTATACCAATGGAACGTATGTTTTGGATTTAATATAAAATAGTAGTTTGAATTTTGAGAAAAGCAAAATTAGGACTCAAATGTATTTTTGTGAAATTATTTAAATATTATTAATTAAAAATTTTTATTTATTAATTTATTAAAAATATTTAATATTTTTATTATCATTTCTCTTCTTTTTTCTTCCTTAAGTTTTTATACAATAGATCTTACCATAAAAAAACCTTTTGCTACGCTAGATAGGCTTAGAGTATTTTTGAATGATAGAAACATAATATGAATTATATATTTTATATTTTATTATATAACTCATATATCTTTATCATATTAGGGTAAAATATTCATTTTATCCTTTATCTTATTAAATTTAAAATTTTTAATCTCTCACTCTATATTATATAATTTTTAACTCTTAAATTTAAAATTTTAAAGATTTTGACCTTTTGTCTGTTAAGTTTCCATTAAAGTAAGAATAAAGTATTTTATAATAGTAGTTCTCAAATATTAAAAATGTAATAATTTAATTTTAAAAGTTTAAAAATTAAAAAAATTAGTAAACTAAAAAAATTAATAAATAGTTTTCTCACATACACTAGAATAATGATATTTATAATAAATCAAGTGATTAACTAAATTAGAAAAAATTCTGATTGAAATAAAAAAAATTAATTAAGGTAAGACAAAAAGTTATAGAGTCTAAAAGAATATAACCAAGTCTAAAATAATATATCCAAGAAATTTTCTTTAATTTTAATTTTTTTTAAATTGAGTTAATTATTCGATTTTATTATAATTATCTAATACTATTTTCATGTTATATGATAAAAATATTTATTAATTATTTTTAATTTATTAATTTTAAACTTTTGAAACTAAATTATTATATTTTTAATTTTTGAGAATTAAAATTTTATAATGTAAAATAAAAAACTAAAAAATTTAAATTTATTAAATTAAAAAATTAAATGCATACTTCAAATCGTTATATTATATGTCTTTTATTATTTAACTCAAATTTTTTCTTTAAAAACTTTTTTGTTGTGTGTACGTTCAAAAAAATAATTTTAAAAAAAAAAGCACGGAATCCACAATTCAGTACTTGTAACAAGTTAAAAACCTGGAGAGATATCTCGATCAGATTTGAAAATGATAAATCGTAAAAATCAGAAAAGAAATGAAAGAATATTAGCCTTTTTTGCAAACTCAATAATAAAAAATAAAAAATATCGTAGTGCTTTCGTACACGAAGTTGATGGATAGGGGCATTGTCGTACATCTAATGTCCTTCGATGTCCTGCAGGGCAACGCTCCATCGCCTTCACTATCAACTTTTCATTTTTTCTGGGTTGCCTTCACTGTCCAACTTTTCTTATTTTTTGGGTTACCGCTACCATCAACTTGATTATGACATGGAAAACACTAATTACTTTCTTCCCTCTTTTTTTTTTTTTTTTT